GCATTCTATCTCACATGAATACATCAGCTGTGATCACTCAAGACAACGTGCAAAAATTCACACAATAGATTCGGTATCCGAAGAGAAACCTGGAAATGACACTTCATGGGCAATGAATGGTAGGTTGGGCGGTTGGGCGGAACCAAGGGAACGCATGGAAGGAGATGTGCGCCTTAGGACAGTCATGAATTAAGCAACAAAGGAACGAATCAGGTTTAGGATGCAGTATAAATGATGACCATAAATCGAAAAAGCTAGAAAGATTTCTGATGAAGGCGCTCGAAATGAATGGAAATGCTTCCGCACGCAGCATTTGTGACAGGTCTGGCGGGAATTTGAAGGCGTAAAAGTTCTAAAAGCTTTTTCAAATATTGACAAAAAGAAACACAATTTTTGGCTTTTCCGTCCTTATGACGAGTGATTGGTCTCAAGCCTGTGATATGGGTGATAAAAAATTTTGTTGGACGATTCTCCTGAAACAGTAAGTATGCGATGTTCTAGACTACAAGACTACGATGGAGGATGCTGGAGAACCCGACCGCGAATATGCGTACGACTTTTTCACAGACGTACGTGAATATGTGGACTGGATTTGCGAAAAGACAGGTGAAATAGTTTCACGTGGTACCCTTCTCATTCGTCACATGAAAATCGGAACTACACATCATTTTAGGAATCTGCCCACCGGAAAGAAAGGGCCATAAAAAGCCCAAGCTGGACAAAACAAAGCAAAAAAGTGCCATATTCAAAATGTATGTACGGAAATAAGCATCGTAGCATTCTACTCAGCCTTTATAAAGTTGAGCAAAAACAGCTGCGCTTAATAAATGCACTTAAAATCACTTCTTTGTGAGATGATTGCAACGTTCACGTCGAACTAGAACAACTCCAGTTACTAGTTCCTCTTCAAAATTCATACAAAACAAAGATTAAAGAGATGATGTCAAAATTAAGAAGTATTGAAGGAAAAGAATAAAGAAGGCTATGAACTAATGTCTACCGATCCTTCTTAAGGGAAGAAAGGATGGCGGGAGAGAAAAGCTAACAGGAGGCGCGGACGCGAGCGCGTACAGCTGACGTCCCAGCTACAACAATGACGAGAGGACAAGACTGAAAGTGTCGAATAGTAGAAGGGTAGCTGGCACCTCACCAACTAGTGCAACCAGAGGTGCTATGAACGAAGTGATTGCATTGTGTATAGGTATACTCGATATCCGAAAGTTGGGGTAGGTGTGTCACGGGAAGTGACGTGCACTTGATAGAAGCTACGTGGATAAGCTGCTTCCAACATTACATCGCTGGATATCAGCAAAGCATGCTGGCAACAGCTTATCCACGCAACTTCTATCAAGTGCACGTCACTTCCGGTGACACACCCACCCCAACTTTCGGATATCGACTGTATAAGGTTTCGCAATCAAAAATGAAGAATTTGTTTGCGATAAGAAGGAAATCAACGGTTTTGTGTGCAACCCTAAACGAGTGCGCGTTTAAAGGACGAATTCACGATGAAAAAGCAACCCATTTCAAATTAACCTAGGGATGGTGAGTGGTACACGAAAGAAGGAAGAACCATGAGAAACGGCCCAGAACCCGAGAAATGGTACCCCTTCCTTGCCCGTTGATTCGAGCATTGATGCGACTCTCATCGCTGTGCCCTCTTCAACACTACGCTCTCTCAGCTATCTAATCACTCGCCACGTATTGAACTACGGCGAGTGATCAGATGATCGGTGGGCGGAGATCGCCGGACCCGCCAGCTTTGAGGCAAGAAAGGTCGCCGAGGTCAAATTTTTATTTCATTGCGAATTGGACAATCAGTTCACTCTCAAGCGAGGTCTGTGGTCGGTCACCGAGGTCAAGTTTGTCGCTTTCTTACGACTTCATTACTATATCGTGATTCCGCTTCAAAGTCGATACGCAATGTTATAATGCATTGGCATTACCCTTGTTCAACCCATCGCCGCTGCTGTGACGCCAAAGTGACGTAAGTCGCACGCGCTCGCGTCCGCGCTGCCGGTGAGCTATTTCATGGAGCTGTGTTTGTTGTGAGGTACCATTTTCGTACTAGGAATTGAATTTTTAAAATGTAGACTGAGTCTATACTTTCATGTGCAAACAACTAGGAGTACATAGCCAAGTTGAACTTGATCAAACCGACTCCTTTCTTCGAGTTTGATTCCTACTTACTTCTACTTATTACACAGTGGCGTTAGAGTTCGATAGATGCTCGGAGTGTACAGTGTTAATGTATTGAAGCATTAGGTGGCACCCTTGGCTCTTGCTCACTCCCTGACCGCTGCTGTGACGTCACCAACACGCGAACGCGTCCGCGCCGCCGGTGAGTTTTTCCACGGAGCCCAACACAGTCAGTCTCTCGCGGCCCACTTATTGAACGAACATAACCAGCACTATTTGAACAAAGTGGCAACGACGCTGGCCAGTACTTGCCCTACTTTCGAGCCCTCCGCGGCTGTGACGTCACCAGTACGCGCTCGCATCCCGCGCCGCCGGTGAGCTTTCTTTCCTCCCACCCCCGTGCACAAAGCTCACCACCTACGCAGGGCACAATCATGTAGTAAGATAATTACAAAGATGTCTTAATAGAGGAGAACACAGGGAATGATAAGAAAGAGTGAGTACACTGTAGTTAAAAGGATGAGACCTATGAAAAAAATGAATATACGCACACCGCCATGGGAGAGCAAGAGCTTCTGTCGTTTGTTGCCTTGTCGCCACTTGTTCCTATACTTCCTCTACCTATGATTTCGTTACAAACGGACGCACACGTGCGCACACCACACCACACACACACTTCGCGAATTATATATAGTAGGATACGAAAGCCACATTGTGCGCACGTCGTACCGCACAAGTGCTGATCTCGCTGTGGAGAGGAAGTGGATGTGATGGTGTGAAGCGTTCCAGGAAGAGAAACCTCCTTGATTTCTAGGAAAAATTCTGATGCGTGGAAAAGAGCTTTATAAAGATTTGAAAACTGCAAAAAAAAAGACAGCACATTGCACTCTTCCCTATGCTATCTAAGCCGTCGTATCCGAGTTTCAGTATAACAAAGTCTGGATCAAGTGTTCACAGTGCAGATAGTTCCTATTGGAGCGTTCATAGTTGGCGATCGTACGTGCGATCAGGCGACTGGGCAGTGAAGACTGTATACGTATTGACTGATTTGCTCCGCCCATTGGGCGATCGCCTAATCGCCTACTCGCCTACTCGCCTACAACGCTCTATGGGCGGAGCAAACAATCAATACGTATGTAGTCTTCCTAATCGCCTAATCGCCTAATCGATACGTATCATTTTCTTATCGCCTAATCGCCTACTCGCCTAATCGATCCGTATAATTTTCATTGCGAATCATCGCCTAATCGCATGTACGATCTATGCTATGAACGGCTATGAACGCTCCATATCAAAGAATTGTAGCAATGATAGGATGACGAACGTTCTCCAGAGAGTTTCATTCATTCATTCAACTTGCTGAAGACCCACGCAGGTCGCAGGGTCCGCGCAATGTTTTTTGCCAAGCCGTCCATGTTGTTCTACCCCAATCCAGAGCATGGATTCTCTCCTGACCTCCAGCTCAGTGAGGTCCCTTGATTACGGTTCTCAATCCCACACTTGAAATCTTCTTTGCGGCCGGCTTCCCCTCGCGGCCGCTTCGCTTGATGCCGTATGCGAATGTCCTCATCTCGCATGTTCTCTAATCGATAATGCACTATGTTGCCTGCCTCAGCAAGTGTCCCATGAAACAGAACCACTATCACGAACGCATCGATGTTACCACCGAAACGTCACCTTCCCTGGATCAGGAGCGGAGATCACCGTACATAGCCCGATCTGAGAACAGGTCGCGATCGTATCACTGAATTCCTGTCAACGAGACGAATCGCGCTCCTATTCTCTATCTATGGAGCGAGTCGAAGCTACATCTGACGAGCGCATATATATACTTTGTGAGCGAGAAGCGCTGTCTCGTAATGTCTTGCTATGCAGAGCGTTTTCTGATTATAAGATCCAGTGGCTAGCACTCGCTGCCCTATTAAGCATCGCAGACCTTATCCACTGTCCGGTATATACCGAGGGTTCTGGAAGCACCTTCAGTCGCAGGGATTCCATTGATTTATTCACTCCACTTTCATCCCAGGCCGCGCTGATTCGTGCCTTCACTGCCTGATCCACACTTTCGTCGGCAGCTAGAGCGCTCCCAAGGTATCGGAAGTCCCTCACCATTTCGATGCATTCTCCCGTCCACAGTCGGCTCTGTACCATCTTCAGAGCTCAGGAACTTTTTCTTCTTGACAATTCAGTCCGGAGCCCGCCTTCTGCCAGGACCTTCTGCCATTTCTGCATCTTGGCCTGTAAGTTCCTCTCTGCTATCCGCTATCAGAGCTATGTCGTCAGCCGTAGAGGATGGTCTTTAGTGGTCCTTCCATGAGGCCCTTCACCATGGCATCTAGCGTTAGGAGGAACAGGAAGGGGCTCAGAGCTGATCCTTGGTGCACCCCAACCGTGACGTCTACCTCTTTTGTCAGACCGTGCGGGGTGCGTATAGTTGCCTTAGCTCCTTCGTACATGTCCTTCACCAGAGAGATCAGGTGTTCTGGCACGTTTCGTTCCCTGAGCGACCTCCACAGCACTGCTCGCGGTAGCCGGTCGAACGCCTTCTCCAGGTCGAGGAAGGCTAGGTAGCAGGGTCGGCGCTTTTCTCGATACTTCTCCATCACTTGCCTGGAACTGGTAGTGGATCTTCCTGGCATAAACCCATCCTGGGGGGCGGGGGGGGGCGAGGGGGCTGCTCCTGGAAAATCGGGACAGCTCCCTCAGCTTCAAGTCGACGTACTGTTGACGCTACTGTATCTGTCACTGTGAAAATTCGTTGCGGATTTCTTCCGCTCTTTTCTGCCTAGTCTAATTAAACTAGCTTACGAAGAAGGATCTTTGATCAGCTGATTAAGCGTGTCAGGCTGAAACAACCATCCTAAGAAATTGTGATTTAATAGCGGTTCATCGAAAATCTACGATGAATTCGGCAATTGAGGCCCAGAAAATTCGACGAACAGAAATGCTTTAAAGCAACAGTTCAGGAACGGTTTCGCGGGAAAAAACCACCAATAATGAAGTTGTAGATGAAAACCAGACGATTAATGTATGAAAAACTGGAAAAAAACGTCGGGGAGGGTCTTAGACAGGTACTCTCCCTCTGCCGCTCAGCAATGGATAAAGACGCACGTTGGACGAGTTGTCTGAACGTGCCCGCTGTAAACGCGCTCCATTTTTCAATCAATTTTCCCTGTGGTCCCAAAACGAGCACGATTGCCGACGCGTCCAATGACGGCCGGCAAGGGGGCGGGATTGGGGAAATCCCCAAGAACACCCATGTTTGAGGGACTTTCCACCCTGTTTTTGAGTTTCTGAGGTAAGTTCGTTTATTATTTCCACTGCATATGTTCTTCACTAGGGCTCGTGTATCCCTCAGTAGTAGTGGCATTGAAATTTTCGGACCCTCCCTGAACTGTTGCTTTAAGCAACAGACACATTTTGTAATCAAAGTAGACCTCTCACCATTGCGTGTTTAGGCGATACTTTTGCACTTGTTATTTCTTCTCCAATACGCGTCTTCCAAAAGGCTCACACCAGAGGAGAATGCAAAACTCATGAAC